CTGACCGTCATAAGTCCGCCGATCACGATGCTGTCTACCACCGACAAGGATGCATGAAGCCGCGGCATGCCTGTGGTAGTTGCTTCTTCGGAGAAAACCCAAGTCCGTGATGCTGGCGATGATCTCCGTCTCTGCTGCGGCGCTGTAGAAAAACTCATTTGTCCCCTAGCTGAGGGTATGATCTTTTTCGAAGAGCGTGTCCAAGTGCTGAGCCACGGGCGTGGCCGCGCTCTCGTCGGGACACTCTTTCACGATATATTGTGATGGGCCTCCAGCTGCTGTCAAGGGCTCCGCGAAGTCTTCGAAGGACAACTGCGCCCTCTCCTGCTTCACCTGCCGCGGGCTGCTGGGCGGCTCCTTCTTTGGAACCATGTAAGCGCGCGTGCGCTGGCAGCCGAGCGCTGCAGGATGTGGAGGAGTTCCGAGTTTGATCTGGCCACTTCGCACGATTTCGCCAAATCTCGGTTGCACGATTCATGCGACCGAGATCTGGCGAGCTCGTTAGAATTCGCCGGATCTCCAGGCTCAAACGACGCTCCGCCGGATCTCGGCTCTGAAAACAGATGTGTTTTGGAGGGCCGAAGTCTGTCGACTTGGGATTTACATGAGGAGATTTGGCCGGTTCGTTTGAATTCGCCTGATCTCAGATGCAAGAACCGTTCAACCGAGTTTTGGCCAAATGGGCCGCGGCGGGGCGGCGCTGGGAAGGCGGAGGAGCGGGCTGTGGCGCGGGGGGGTGGGGAGGCGGAGGAGGAGGATGCGAATGAGAAGGATGAGCCATATGATTTGCTTTCGCGCTAATACGGCGAGTTATGCCCACCTGGGAGTTGACCAGCAATGATTAGGCTGAACAGATGAGACGATCTGAAGGCACCTGTGCAATAAGGTTTTGAGGCTACAGACAAAGCACGGCGTGTTCAAGAAACACACCATATGCAGCTGCATCCAGAGCGATATGGCTCATAGATGGGATCCACCGGATGAGTTTCCAACCTGCTGACTGAAACTTCGACTCGACGCGCCATCCTCCTGCATCCGCAGCACGGTGAAGCGGCCGACTAGCATGGTCACCTTGTCGAGCGCGCGGTCGAGGTTCTCGATGAACTGCTTGAGATCCTGGATGTTCTTCTCCAACCCGAACATTTGATTGAGTAGGTGGCGCGCCTCTGGGGGCACGGGGCGGTCATTCTGCGAGTTGCCGTCAATTTCGCTGCGAATTTCATTCAAGGGCAATAGCAATGTCCTGGCGAAGTCGCCCCCGTCTCTCATGGGCACGACGAGCGTGGCCCCCCGAAGCAAGCTTTGATGGGAACGCAATTTGCTCATGATGTCAGCCGTGCTAGCCTGCGGGCGACGTGGAGGAGATCGAGACCTGTCTCGTTTTTCTTGTCCTGGTGGTACGGACTGCGACTGCGGTCGCGTCCGAAACGCTCCATCGGGAGTTGTTGGACCCCTCCCCATGTAAGAATCAGAAGGACGCATGGTTGAGCCTAGACGACTACGGAGACATCGCGGGGAGGTATGCCCATAAGAACATGGCCGATGTTTGAACTGCGGCACCTGAACCGTCCTGAGACATGGCACTTTTAATTTGCAGCGTTGGTTTGGATAATGAACCTTGTTTCATCCGACGGTCCCCGCACAAAGACCAGCCGTTGTCGATGGCCCAGTCTTTGTTCAAGTGGCTGTTCTGGGATAGGTTGGCTGGCATTCGCGAAGCAAAGATCATGTTGGGAAGGGGGTGGGGTGAGCATGATAATGATGAGCCGCGTGATTTACTTTCGCACGAATGTGGCGAGCTATGCCCACCTGGCGCAGAGCACCCGGCGCAGCTGTTTTGCTCCTTCGCGCTTTCGCTCGAGAGCTCGCGGTGCTTCCGTTTCTTGCGGCTCTTGCCGTTCACCGCGGCAGTGGCCATCTCCATGAGATTGTCCAGGATGGTGTCCAGACCTCGTCGCGCCGAGGACCCTATCCAAACTGATCCCGCGTCGCGCGGCTGGCCGCCTCGGCCAGGCGCCGCACTGGCTAAGGAAAACCGCCAAAATGCAGCCAACTGGTGCCACTGAAATGGCGTCGCCAGCAAGGCTCTTCAAAATGGCGCCCGGCAGCTCCGCGTCCGTCTCTATCCAGAAGCGCTGCACCCGCATCAGTTCTGCGCCTGTCAGTTGCTCCCCCCCCCCAGCTTCGCGCCCCAGAGCACGCGCCCGCGCGGGGCACATGGCGCAACCCCTGCAGATCGGCAGTCTCTGGCACAGGGGAAGAACTTCACCGAGCTAGTCGGGCCCCACACAACATGATGGTTATCTGGGGAAATGCCGTCGCGCATTGCGACCACCCAGTGCATGCCAAGTGCATCTTGCATTCGGCGCGTCAGTGCTGAAGCGTTCGGAGGATGACTCACGGTTTTTTGAGCAATGCAACCCTGGTCGGAAGTGGCAAGGCATTGCGGATAGTTGCATGGACGTTGGCCCAATTGAGGGTTTGTCTTCTTGCGGCAGGTCGATGGCGCCATGTTTGCGGTGGATGGTACCAACACTGCTTCCGAAGGTTTCGGCGTGATCCGTTGGGCATTTCTCATTATCTCCTGAGGCCATTGGTCGATCGGTGTAACCAGTTGCAGCCTCCTTGTGTTCACAGCGACTGCATACAACCTCCTTCTTGACATGTACACCCCCATTGTTCGGCGACCCAGTAAGAAGTCGATGACTGTGTATCCGCCAATCCTCCTGAACGCTATCTGGACTAGGCTACTTCAATACTGCGTTTGGTCACAACGTTTTCTAGCACAACGATAAGTGGCCGATACAACCTGATGTATTCGACGCTAGACTCCAACGTCTGACTGTTCTCACCAGCGCGGCCATCTCTGACGCGTGGATCTGTGCCACGAAGCAATGGTTCGTTGCGGTGGTGGTTCATTGCGGACACATCCCTGCAGACCCACCCGGCCACATACCCAGTGCGCTGGGAATTCGCACATGATGTTTGGAACGCCAATATTCTGCCCATGTGGCGCTTGCTCGGTGCGCAGTCTCGAAGATCATCTCTGGCCTGTAACGGGCCTCTATGATTTGGCGAGGTCCGTCTCCTTCTCTCCCTGGGCACTCACTGGCGAATATGTCAGTTATCTCCAATCCAACACCCCGGGCGTGCATCGTGGAGCGCAACTGCTGCAATGCTTCCACCGGGGCCCCGGCCCCGCTGCAGTCATCCCCGTACGTGATTGCCCAGGATAGGTTTTCCAGCTTCCCTGCTTGCTGCAACCCATCACACGCAGCCTCTGCCCATGTAGCGCTCCTGGGTACGTCATCGAGGGCATGCTGCACATCGCCGCCGACTTCAGAACCAGAGATGCAATGTGACGCGCTTGGGTCAGGGGCTGGCCTGACGCCGCATCCTTAACAAAAGTGCTGCGATGGCAAGGACGCATCAACTGTGCAGATATTACCTCACGTGCTTTTTCACCCATCAAAAAACGAGAGGATGAGACATATGAGACGGGATGAGTCGCGCGAGGAGGTTTGGAGATGGAAGACGCGCGCGTTTCAGAGGGAGAATGGGGAGTGACCTCTTGGCCTAGATGTTGAGATGCTTGCGCCTCCGAAGTGTGATACTCCTCGGAATATGGTTGGCCCCTCTTAGGATGCCCCCATCGGTCGGCTTGGTCCGTACACGTTTCCAGATTGGTGTATTATGTTCTGTCATCATGGGAGTTCCCTCGGGCCTCCGGGGGCCCCCCTCTTGAAGCCGTTCCATTGGAGCGCTCCGCAAAACTTGATCTCGCGCCCCCCCCTTTTGAAACCGTTCCATTGGCGCTGGGGGCCGCGCGAGGCATGCGGGAGGATGGTGACATAATGATTGATGACTGCTGATGATGATGAATGATGCTTTTTGCTGGCGAGCCGATGCCCACCTTCGAGTGGCGGACCGCGCGCTTTGTCAAGCGAGACACCGCCCACTTGCTAGACCAGGAATGTCTGTATTACTTGCCACGCGTGAACCGCCAATCATCCCTGCGAGCGCGGCGCTCTCCGCAGCCCCCAACAGCGCGGCGGCTCTTAGGACGCCTGATCTTCGGCTCATCAGGTATGGCGAGGAGATTTCGCTTCCTTCCCTGAAATCACTCGAGGTGCTTGCGCTGCCGCCGGTCTTCCTCGTCGGGCCACGTTTGGCGGGAGAACCGCTCGCGGCGCCGCCGGTGGGGCCATCGCGCTCGGTGGAGCCCCAGCCTCGCTGACCTGCTCCAGCGGGGCGCCGGAGAGTCCCTGCGCCATCGACGGGGGCGCGTCGTTGCGATCCCGCTGGGATGAGGATGCGTTGGCCTTGGCGCGATTCTCTGTAGTGCGGGTCCTCTTGTTCTGTGGGGCATCGTCGTCCTCCATTCGAACAGGTACTGCTGCTGCAGCGCCTCCCTTGCTGGATGGCGCGGGACAACGGGCTCCTTGGTGGCCGTCATCGCGACATGCTCAATCACGGGGGGCACCCAACTCGCAGCGTAGCCTTTAATGCTTTTCTCTACCAGGTCGGTCATCCACTCATGCGCGCGATGCATATTCCACGGTGCATGAGCCAACATCGCAGCTGTTTTCCTGAACTCTTTGACCTGACGGTCTGAGAACTGCACGCGCTCCGATGCAGCACCAGGGCCTCCTGGTTCAAGAGCGCGCATGCGGGATCCAGGGTAGCAGACTTCTTGTACTTCAGTATATGTCTGTGAGCCGACGTAGTGCTTGCCTAGTCTCGAAGATGATGTCGTCCTCGGCGGGTGGCTCTGGGAAGACAGACTTGGGCTCTGTGGTGACCGAGCTCAGCTCGCGGGGGAGACTGCGCATGCGGTCGCGGCGAGCAAATCTGAGCACGTGGCAAGCCTCCGAGTTCTGCAACGTCATGGCGCGCGTCTGCACGTGGTTGTGCGGCGCAACATGAATGGGGATCCAAACATGATTTCCAATCGTACACTGCGCCCAGCTGAGAAACTCGTAGGAGTCGTTTTCCGCCACCTGCGGTCTCCATGCGAGCCTTGAAGTCACTTGGCGACTCCAGCGCCGCACTCTCATTGAGCGCCGTCCCGACGACGCTGAAATGTTGATCAATGCGGCCGTGACTATGTCCAGGTTGAAATTGCGTCATCTCCGTGCAGTCGAAGTGCTCTTTGTGCGACAGGAATGCCAAGAACTGCATGAACGTCTGGTTTTTCACTTCACCTCCAGCGCTGTCGGAGTGGACGCGCAAATGCGTCGGATATGGAACCTCGCGAGACTTAAGAACACCTGCGCTGCAGAAGAGCAGCCACGATCGTGACCGACAAGTTTGCATTCTTCACAATGTCGGGCGGCACCAACCAGTCGGAGTTTGCAATGCCATCAACGACGCCGCCGACCATATGTCGTTGTGGCCTCCGCGATGCAGCCTTCGTTTTGGCGGCCGAGATATTTCTCGGGAACATGAACTTCATTGCCTCCATGGCGTCGATGTCTAAGTCCTGGATACATCGGGAGCGATCCACGCCGCCAGGCGTGACAGTGGCCTCCCGAGCTGCGCTCTGGATGCGCTCGTCGACTGACCGGTCCAGGAATGTCTCTTCCACGTGGGAGAGGTGCTCTGCTCGCACTGCCTCTGCCGCTTCAGGTGATGCGGCTGCCCTCCTTAAGGCCTCGAGGCGTTCGCACGCGTCGCATTTGGACTGCAGGATCTGTGGCCGAATGCGAAGGCAACGGTGCCAACGCTCGTTGTACACCCTGGTGAACGATACGTTGCTTGGAAGCGAGCGCAGGCCAAAGTCGCGCGACGAAAGTAGATGGTATAGGTCAACCAGGGCCATCGGATGTAACCAACGCACTTCGCCCGCGTCAGCAGCAGCGGCTGGCGACGTCGCGCCTGGTCCGTGGACCCATGCGCGGTAGCCGTCCATATTTGGCAATGCGCAGAAAGTTTGGTCAGATTGCGCATCGTCCATTTTTGTTGCAAGTTCTGGGAAAAAGGTAATCGACAAGGTTGCTAGATGGCCGCACGTCGCTACTATTCCAACGTTCAGCTAAGACGTCATATGTCCATTGCAGCATCTTGTCGCGCGCGTTCGTAGATTGCTCCGCTCGTGCATTGCATTGCGGCGGAGGTCACGAGGAGGTTGAACGCGCCCTTCTCTTTGCCACTTCATCAATCTAGCCAGACGAGAGTTGCCAGTGCCGAGAAGCTCGCGGAAAGCGGCCCGGCACACCGTGAACCCAAGAAATTTGAATTTGCAGCGTCGGTGACTTCCTGATTCCACCCCGTCGACCATCTGCAGACGGACCAATAGTTGAAACGCAAACTCATTGATCTCATCGTTAGACAATGTAGCTTGCATGTGCCGCCATTGTTGTAGCTCTGCTGTCCGCTGGTCTTCGACGTGCGCCTCGCATCCCCCAGCGCAGCACTCTCCTGGGAGCGATTCGCGTTCGCCTCCAGGGAGGGACTCCGCATCTGCATTGCCCCCCACCCTTGCATCTACGACGCCGTGGGGTTCACCAGCTTCATCACCGCCGTCGATTTCTGAGCGCACTCCGACGCTACATGGCAGAGACTCCTCTTCACTTTGGGGACGGCTCTCGTTGCTTCTTGGGAGGCTCTCTTCGCCGCTCATCAGAAACTCGAACCTAGCTAGCACGCGACAACATGATGTTGTTGTTTATGTATCGCCCACCTGTCACATGTTTGCCACAATGCGAGCATGGTGCCCACCTGTGTCTACATATGTTTACAAGTTCACCGCTCAGCTAGCACGACGCCCACCCTTTGTTAGTTGACGATGCATTTCAAACATGTACCAGAAGTTGTTGCTTCAGCGAGCTCAGAAGCCCACCTTGGCGACAAGGGTGACGATGCAGATTGCGAGGAATGATGACGGTGAAGATGATAATGGCGTTGCCTATGCTGCTGTCGATTGCGATGATATGAACGCTTTATGTAAGAACCGAACCCACCGGAAGAAAAAACGATTGTCGTGAAACGCCCTTGCGAACGCGCTGGTTAAAGCTTGCAGGCCCTCGCGGAGGCCCAGCCGAACGCGACGTTCATCAAGGTGGACATCAAGGCGGCGCTCCAACGGGTGCGCCGCGGCCCTGCCTTCGAGGCCTTGGACGAAGCTGCCCCCGAAGTGGCGGCGGCCCCGAGGGCTTGGCACCCGGGCCCCGCAGAGCATTCCCGGCGCACCGACGACGGGCGCGTCGAAGCGGTCTGGGGCCGGCGCGGGCTCGATCAGGGAGACCCCCTGTCCTTGGCGGCCTTCGCGGGGCAGCGCGCGCCCTCGAGCAGCTCTTGCACAGGCTGCAGCAGCTGGGCCCAGCTGCCCGCCTGTGCTCCTACCTCGACGACTCCTACTTGGCGGCGCGGGCGGGCCTCGGCGCCCTCGCGCTGACGGGCCTCCACGCGGCGCTCGCGCCACTGGGGCTGGAGCTGAATGACGACAAAACGCGGGCCTGGCCCCCTGCGGGCGCCCAGGCCGTCGAGGCCGAGCTCGCGAGCAAGTGCGCGCCCGTTCTGCCAGTCCTCGGCGCGCAGCTCCGGGCCCCTGGAGACGCCGACGGGGCGGCGCCCCCTCTCTGCGGGCAGGGCCGCGGGCTGGGCGGGTCCACGGGGCGCCTCGAGAGACTCTGGGCCAACCTGGAGCGGCCGCTGCAAAGGGGCCCAAACGGCAGGCGGCGGGCGCGCTGCGCAACGCCTACGCCGGCTACGCCAGCTAGCGCTAGCACAACTTGCAGCTGGCCTTGGCCGCGGGGGAGGAGACCTTCCGCTACGACACCGCGCTGCGGGGCTGCTGGGGGAAGCCGCTCGGGTGGCGGCTCGGGGCAGAGGCGCGCGAGCTGCTGGGCCTGCCAGCGAAACTCGAAGGGGCCAGCGCGCAGTGGGCGGCCACGAGACGGGCGCCCGCCTGCTGGGCGGCGCGGACGCAGGCGGCGGAGGAGGTGCGGGACGACCAGGGCGCGGACCTTGAGCCAGCGGCGCCGCTGGAGGCCTTCTGGGGAGCCCGAGAAAGCAGTTGACCCTGGTTGCCATGGCGCATAGGAGAACCCACGCTGCTGTCGCCGCCGTCCGCGGGAGGGCCCGAGGCCGGCGCCCACCTCCACGGAGCTGGCCTGCACGCTGGAGGACCAGCACTGGCAGACTGCCACTCGCAGCCGCGCCCAGCTGCCGCGGCCAGAGTGCTCCACGGACGAGCTAGCGCGCGCGGCGGGGATTTGCCAGAAGCTGACGGCTGGTGGAGTGCCGTGCCAAGCGCCGCTGGATCTGGCGGGTTTCCACGCGGCCGTGTGTCAGCCGGACGGGGGCGTCGACGTCAAACGGCGCGCGGGCGTGGCGCGCGCCGCGGGCAGCCTCGCCGGCAGGTGGTGCCACTGCTCGCCGCTGCGCGCCGGGTGCCCACCTTGGACAGGGCCCGCGCACCGCGGGGGGGGGCAGGCGCCGGTCCCGGAGCGGGCTATCCAGGACGTCGAGTATGACGACCTCGACGGCTGGCGCTGGCTGGACGCGACTGTCCACCACCCGGCGGCCGGCGACGATCCCGCCGCGCGCGCGGCGGCAAGGCGCGCGGGCGAGGCGGCCCGCCGGGCCGAGCGCGCCAAACACACCCGCTACCCAGGTGAACGCCTCACGGCGTTCGCCGTGGAGACGGGCGGCCGGCTCGGGGGAGGCGCGGGCCTGGCTGCTGGCGCCATAGATCTACCAGAGGACTCGCAGCAGGAAGAGCTTGCGCGAGCCTACCGGGTGTTCAGCGGCGAGCTGCAGCGCGAGCTGGCCCCCCAGCTGCGGCGCGCGGCTGGGCTGCGCTGAGGCTGCTCCGGGGCCGCGGCCTTGGCCTGCTGCTGGGCGCTGGAACAGCCGGCGCCGGGCGGCTGCTGCGCGGGGCTGAGGCGGCGCTGCGCTGCTGGGCCCTGGGCCGCTGGGCTGGCGCGGGGCGCCGGGCCCCGGCGGCGCGCTGGGCGGCCTTCGGATCTGCACGAACGACATGGGTATGGAAAGAATGAGTACAATGTCCTACAGCAGTTCCTGTTCATTTTGAACAGGACTCGCTGTCCGCGCCGCCGCGGCCTGTGTCCATTTGAGACAAGAGGCCGCCTGCCCAACAGCGGCCACTATTGGTTTGGGACAAAATTTGTTGTTGGGTATTGTACATATTTTTCCCGTGCGCGCTTCGGGCGCCCAAATCGGAGGAGCAGGAAAGCGAGCTGGGCGGGGGCGCCAGGCGGCGGCCAGAACCGCCCAGGCCGCGGGCGGCGGCAGGCGGGCGCGGGGCAGGCGCGGCGGCCGGTGGCGGGGCAAAGGCTGGCCCGCGGGGGCGGCGCGAGGGCGGCCTTGGCGACTGCGGCGCTGTTGGGCCGGGCGGCGCCTGGCGGTGGGACCGCGCTGGTGCTGCTGCACTTCCCGAAGGAGGTGCGGCGCCTGGTGGTGGGAGCGCAGGCCGCTGGCCACGCGGCCTGCTGCACGTCGCCGCCGTGCTCCCTGGCATGCGCGGTAAAGGCCCCGGTCGGCGCACCCCCTCGGCTCTGGGGCTTGCTAGCCGCTGAGCGGCGTGCTTGTCCTGAGGTTGGGGGGTTGTGCCGGCCCCCGATCATAGTGCTTCCGGCGCGCGGCAGACACGCGGCCGCCGGAGGAAGAGGAGGACGAGGAGGAGTAGGAGGAGGAGGAACAGGAGGAGGAGGAGGAGGAGGAGGAGGAGGAGGAGGAGGAGAAGGAGGAGGAGGAGGGGGAGGAGGAGGACGAGGAGGACGAGGAGGAGGACGATGAGGACGACGATGAGGACGACGATGAGGACGACGATGAGGACGACGAGGACGAAGACGACTAGGACGACGAAAACGACGAGGACGACGAGGACGACGAGGACGACGAGGACGACGAGGACGACGAGGACGACGAGGACGACGAGGACGACGAGGGGGAGGAGGAGGAGGAGGAGGAGGAGGAGGAGGAGGAGGAGGAGCTGGAACTGGAGCCGGAGCTGGAGTTGGAGCTGGAGCTGGAACTGGAGTTGGAGCTGGAGCTGGAGCTGGGGGGGGAGGAGGAGGAGGAAGAGGAGGAGGAGGAGGAGGAGGAGGAAAAGGCGGAGGAGCAGGAGGAGGATCGAGAATGTACATGGGAGGCAGGGAGGGAGGAGGACGGAGGAGAGGGGGGAGGGGGCAGGAGGAGGAGGAGGATTGGGGTGGAGAGAGAGAGAGAGAGAGAGAAAGAGCGAGAGAGAGAGAGAGAAGGGAGACGCGGAGACGTTGAGATTACCTCAAGGTCCCGAGGGCCTTGCTCGCCACGGGCGCGGGCAGCCACCGACGGGAGGGACGTCCACTCCAGTCATCCAGTCAGCGGCAGCGGGCGAAAGCCCGCCCGAAACCAGGGGCCCACGCGAGCCCCAAGGAGATCAGAACCGGGAGCCCCGGAGGAAGCCACAAAGACCAGACAAGAGCCGCCAGGACCCCGCTGACTGAAGCAGACCCCCCCCCCCCCTCCGCGACCTCCTCACGGCTCGAACTCGGCCCCGCACATGTGCTGGCACCACACCTCGAGTCTGGAGCGGTCCACGCCCGTAAGGGCCTAAGGTCGAGCTCCGCTTGGAGGGCCGCGAAGTCGTCATCAGACATGGTCCGCAGGGATTTCAGCACCAGGACGGGGTACTCCAGATTTCGTAATAAAGGGAGGGGGGTCTCTTCCAGGCTATCTTGGAGGGCCTGGGGGGGTCTGGGGACGATGTTTTGGAGGGTTCTCCCAGGGGGGGGGGTCTGAAATGGCTTGTCTTGGAGGGTCCAGACCCCCTCCCTTCTATTACGAAATCTGGAGTACATTGTCCCGCGGGTCGCAGAAGCGAGGGCCGCCCCAGCTGCAGCAGCAGCAGGCTCCCCGAGCAGCCCCTCTCCTCCCCGAGCTTCCCTGGCTGCCGCGTCTGCAGGGTTACCCGGATGCTCACCTCCTCCGCACACGTCCTCCTCCATGTCGCCGTCGCACTCGCTGACGATTGACCCAGAGCTCTTGCCCGTTTTCCGCTTATTTTAACAATCGTCTTCTGTTTTCTGGGCTCACCGATGAAGAATTCCTGCACGCCACCGGCGTCACGAACTCCACCAGGGCCCCCTTGTAGATCTGGACGTCCTTCACCCGGAGCGGCCGTCGCCTCGGCAGCCTCTGCCGAGTCCAGGGCAGTGACCCTCTCGACCATCTCCCGGTCGACATCGCCGCCGTCAGAGCTTGTGAGGAGCCGCTGGGCGTCGCCGAAGCCGCCACCGCTTGCCGATGGCGAGTCCAGCGACTTGGCCGAGCCCAGGCCCCCCCCGGCGCTCCGAACTGCTTCTGATGTTGCTGCTCCTCCTCGGCGGGGCTGCGTCCGACCCTCCTCCTCTTCCTCCTCCTCCTCCTCCTCCTCCTCCTCCTCCTCCTCCTCCTCCGCCTCTTCCTCCTCCTCTTCCTCCTCCTCTTCCTCCTCTTCCTCCTCCTGCCCTCCTCCTCTTCCTCCTCCTCCTCCTCCTCCTCCTCTTCCTCCTCCTCCCCCTCCTCCTCTTCCTCCTCCTCCGACTGCTGCCTGCACTTCGCCTTCTTCTTCACCTTTACCTTCTTCCTGCTGTCCTTCAGCTTCTCTGAGCCGCTCAACTCCAGCTTCCCGTAGCCGACGTTCACGGCCTCGGAGGTTTCCCGGCCGATCTCGAGCGAAGTTTTGAGCGCCGCTTGCATCTCCAGGTTTTTGGCCTTGTACTTCATCTTCTCGGGGCCCTCCGAAGCCAGCATCCCGCTGCCAGACTCCACGACCTCGGAGTCCTTCATCTCCTTGGCCTCCAACTCCTCGTCCGACTCCGAAGCGCGGAGGATCCACCCCTTCAGCGGGTCGTAGAAGAGATGCCTTCCTCCCGGTAGGTTGCCAGCACACGAGCCTGGTTGGAGGGCCGTCGGATTGGCGACCGCACTCTCCTGGCGCCGTTCTCCCTGAGTACAGCCATGTGCGCCCTGTCGTCCTTGATGCCCAGCTTGATGGCCGCCGCCTTGCTCCGCGCCATCGCAGAGGACGACCTCAAGGAGAAAGTCCCGAGTCGTGCCAACCTTGATGTTTTTGAACAGCTGCCCGATCGTAAACCCCGCGTGGTCAAATTGAGCCAGCTGGTAGTCCACGTAGACCTGCAGCTTCGTCATGCCCTGGCCCCGCGCCGCGGCACCCCCCTGAAGAACGCGGCGCGAACCTCCACTCGAGACAGAGGGTCTGGGAGAGAGGGGAGCAAGGGATGCAGGAGTGGGAGGAGGAGGTTGGTTTGAGTCGCCCAGGGGAAACAGCATGTCTAAACCCCCAGATGGAGGAGGGGAAGGGAGAGGGCGGGCGGGCGGGCGCGTGAGAGACTCCCCTGTCCCCTTGGCCCCCATGGACTCTCTAGTGCATGTCCCTTCACAGGAGTAATATCCAAGAATAGTGAAAACGTAGTATGGTGACGATTCTTCGTGCTCGTTTGACTATCCGTAAGGGCTTCGCCCCCTGCCGCCGGCCCCCTCTCTCGGAGAACGCGCTATGCAAGAGCTATGTCATGAGGCCTGGGCGCTGTCGTGAAGCAGTATCGGAACTTCATGCGAGGCCGACTCGTAATGAGCAAAACCAACAGATGACCAGAGGGGTTACCACACCTTGCGATTGGTAAGACGTCGTGACCCTGCCGATCTTCGTGAGGGGTGCCGCCGAATTTCAGAAATGTGGCAAATCCCCTGTGTTGTTGGACCCTGACCCCGCCGATCTGCATGAGAGGTGCCACCGAATTTCAGAAATGTAGCGCATCCCTTGTGTTTTTGGACCCTGACCCCGCCGATCTGCGTGAGGGGTGCCAACGAATGTCAGAAATGTGGCAAATCTCATGTGTTTTTGGACCCTGACCCCGCCGATCTGCGTGAGGGTTGACAAATTTTTACCCCCCCAGAAATTCTGAGAACCCTCTCAGTGCGTCGTAAAAATGCCCGTTTTGGGTCTCCCCCTCGCGCGGTCCACCAACAAGGGACAGAAAGCAGCAAGAAGTCAACAAGGAGCAGTAAGCAGCAAGAAGCAGAACTGTAACGGTGGAAACTGGAAGCTGCAACTGGTACAGGAAACTGCGAAGCTTCGGCCTACAGCCTTGTGGCCCCACAAGGGGGCCGGCGGATGTTATCACATTTGTTGCTTAAGTTTGTCTTACAAAATCTGCCTGTCGGAGGGCATGCCCACCTCATGAAACTCTCGTCCACACCTCCCCAACCCCCATCCGACGACGGCGACTCCTGACGCGACCACTCCGACGACAACTGCTTCGATGCCGCCGCCAGCGGCGACGACGACGACGTCCCCGCCGCCGCCGCCGCCGACGACGACGACGACCATGCTTTCGGATGCCCCTGGACCCCCCCGAGGGATCGGTCCTTGGTCTTCAACGTCACCGTCGCCGACGGGCGGCGGCCGACGTGGCGACGGCGCGCGGAGGCGGTCCAGAGCTCTTACCCCCGAGGGGCGCGCCCCATCCGGGGGGATCCAGTGGCATCCAAAGGTCGTCGTCGTCCTAGTCCTCGTCGTCCTCGTCGTCCTCGTCGAAGTCGTCTTCGTCTTCGTCGTCGTTTGCGTCGTTGTCGTCATCGTCGTCGTCGTTTGCGTCGTCGCCGCTAGCGGAGGCGGTGCAGGGCTACTACCCCCCGAGTGGCGCGCCCTACCTCCTCCTCGAGCAGCCGGTCGAGGAGTCCCGCGTGCGCACGGGCTCCTCCTCTTCCGCTTTCCTCCTCCTCATCCTCCTCCTCCTCCTCCTCCTCCTCGGCTGGCGGCGTCAGGCATTGGCGAGGTGTCCTAGCTTGCATGTACGGTCATGGTCCTACTCACAGCGTGCAGTCGGGAATGTGCCTATACACGCTGTGTGCTCTGCACTCAGCGTGTACCCTGCGCGGTTGGTGCTTAGCGTGTATATTGGAGGGTTGTTGCACCCGACCCTACTTCGCGTGTACGCCCCTGCGCTGCTCAGCGTGTCAGCGGCTTCGGTTTCGCAGGGCCCGAAATCACAGACACGCTACGAATAGGACCATCGCCGTAGGCCCCCCAAATAATGTTCTGATATAGGCCTCAAGCTCAGAGGGGCAAAAGGTACCTAATATCGCTACCCTTCGCCCGTTTTCTCCTTTTTCGGCCTCATGGGAGGCCCTCGTCGCCATCGCTGGATTCGCTTCGAAGTTTTGGTCAGAACGCGCCCCGAGAGAGGTCCGTGCGGTGAGGTCATTGGGGATCCCGAGTTCACCTCACGGTCTGCCACCGCCCCGTTCTCATAGGATTCTCATGGGATGTCATAGGATTTTCATAGGATGCTCGTCGGCTTCTCACGGGATTCATAGGATCTTATTGGATTCCCATCGGATGGTCATAGGAAAGCAGGCACGCCACGCTCAGACGAGCAGGCAATCGCGCATCAGCCCTGGGGTCGCGGCGCCGGGTTCCGCCTGCCGCTTGGCGAGCGCCCAGGCGGCGGCGCTGAAGTGGCGAGGAGTGGCGAGGCGGATCAAGCAGTGGCGAGGAGTCCTGGCTTGACCCCCGACGAGCGTTCGAAGAACCTGTCGTGGTGTGCACGACATGGTCCTAGAGCATGTCTGCTTGAGGCCGGTCTGCTTCATAATGCCGGCTTCATGCCATGGGAACATTGGTTCTGTCATTCGAGCATCCTTTTTGTTTTACGAGCACGTGAGCGACGCAAGAGAAGGGGGCCGTCTGCGCCGACATTGGCGCGCAAGCTGCCCGCGTAAGGTCGCGCGTATGCGCCGTCGTCTTCGATGTAGCGTGGCGCGCTGGCGGCCCGCGCAAGCCGCCGCGTGAGCCTGCGGGCTTCCCAGGCATGCTTTCGATCGCTCCCTGAAGCATCTCCCGCGAGCTTGGAAGCTCAGGTATCCATTCCAGGGTTCGCCCCCCACTCCGTGTGGTGCCCTGCTACCCGGGTTTTGGACTACACAAGTTGGACCAGAAGTTGGAATCCCCGGAGCAGGCTGCTCGAACTCGGTCGCGACGTCACCTCGCGTAGGACCTGCTGTGTCTCGTCGCTCGCGCTGCGGCAGGCCCAGAGGAGTGCTGGAGCGGCCGGCCCCTGCTCAAGAGCTGCAGTGGAGGCCAATGCCAGGCTGATGCCAGGAAACGCCCTGCTCGCCTCCAAGGTGCCCTGGGTTTCGTGGGTTTCGATGGTTTTGCTGGAGTGGGGGCGCGCATCAGGAAACCATATGTTTTTCGTCAGGGTATCCTGGGTTTCTTCGCTCCTCGCGCTGCGCGGTGACTTCCCGCAGCCGTTGAAGGAGCTGCTGCGTTCAGGGTGCTCCAGGTTTCCCCTCAGGTGCACCTCGCGCACGGGTTCTCAGGGTTGGGTTTCTTGCGAGGGTTTCTTGCGGCCGCGCCCGCACTGTATGGAAGGCGAGACGTTCCCACACCAGAAATACATGGACGTCCTGGGGTCTCGGGGTTGGGTTTCTTGTTTAAGGTTCCTTGTGGTCGGGCCTCCACTGTATGATGTTCCAACCTGCCTCAGCCTAGATCACCCGGAGGAACTTCGAGCACGAAGGAATGGCCCAAACTTGAGAGGGCGTTCGCGTGCCAGGCCCTGGCAGGCGATGCTCGTTCGACACCGTTGCGATACGTGTCCCAGGTGCTCGACATTATTTCGGGGACCCAGACATGCGACGTCCTGATTTGTTCAGGACGTTCCCGGAAGTCCCGACCCGTTCCCCAGGGCTGGTTTGCCAGCCCGAATCGTTTTTTGACAGCCCCGGGGGCCGGCGGGGCGACTCTGTTTCCATAGGTTTTCGAGTTTTTCCCTACCTAGGCTCTGCCTAGAAGGGTTCTTACTCTCTAGCTTAAAGGGGCCGGGCAGTGGAAAGCGCCCCGAGCGGTTCCCCCAGTCCCCTGGGAGCGGTTCCCCCCAGTCCCCTGGGAGCTTTAGCTTTAGCTTTAGCTTTAGCTTAGCTTTAGCTTAGCTTTAGCTTAGCTGTAGCTTAGCTTTAGCTTTGCGTTTCGCTTAGCTTTTCGCTCAGCGTTCAGCTTAGCTTTAGCTTAGCTTTAGCTTAGCTTGAGCTTAGCTGTAGCTTAGCTTAAGCTTGGCTTTAGCTTAGCTTTAGCTTAGCTTTAGCTTAGCTGTAGCTTAGCTTTAGCTTAGCGGCTGCTCAGCTTTAGCTTAGCTTTAGCTTAGCTTTAGCTTAGCTTTAGCTTAACTTTAGCTTATATGCGGCTTAGCTTTAGCTTAGCTTTAGCTTAGCGTTACTGTTACTACTAACGCTGCTTTCCTAGGGGTTTCAACTCCTAGGTAGGGTCGCACTGGGATAATTTCTCTCGTGTTTCATGTTGTTTTCTGGTTCTTCTCTTCATATTATTATTATTCTTCGGTCGGCGGCAATGGGGGGGGTCCGAATGGAATCCTGCACAGAAGGAACTTTATTGTAATGCGCCACAAAAGCAATCGTTATGTGGCGGCCAGCAAAAGTGGGGACCTCCGAGGGGGAAGATCATAAAAAAAACATGTTTGTTTGTCGGCGGGTGGGGTGGAGAACAACAAAAAAGATGTTTTGTTGTTTTGTCCTTCTCTTTCGGAATTCCCCACCTTTGCCAGCCGCCACAAAAGGATTCCGTTCGTGGCGCATTACAATCGAATTCATTTCGTGTGGGATTCCAATGGGATTCCTTTTGTGGAGGATTCAATAGGGTTCCTTTTTTTACGGGGATTACATTGGGATTAATTCTAGAATCCGATTACAGATGGCTCCATCTAGGATCTAGTCGGCTTGCAGGGGGGGCCGGGCGCGGGGGGGTCGCCAACGACCGCGCCGATTCCATCGCGGCCCGCTGCCCCTTCCCGGGACTCTCAGGAATCCTCCGGGCCCAGTCGGCCTCGCAGTCGGCGCCGGCGTCGCGTCGCCCGCGAGGGCCAGCCGGCGGGCGGGCCGACCTTGGTGCGCATGTTTGGCGCGAGAGACCCGCGCGGGCCTCGCGCTGTGCCCGCGCCCCAGGGCGACGGCCCAGGCCCCTGTAGCCCCCCGCGCTGACGCGATGGCCTCGCGCTGGGCGCAGGAGCGGGCGCCGCCGACCGTTCGGTTCGGTTCCGCGCACTTCTCATGCGAAAACGCAAAGCCCCCCATGCTGCTCGCGCGCTTTGCGCGCTGAGCAATGCGATGCAGTT